TCGAATTGGAAACTTCCATGCTGAATGGATTTCGTTCCTGGTGCTGGAGGAGGCTACAGTAGATATCGTCCTGGAGGGTCCCTGGCTGGCTAAACATCATCCAGACATCCACTGGAACTCCGGGGAAATACTTCGGTGGAGTGAATCCTGTTTCAGGACATGTTTAGCAGATCTCCCTCTTCCAGACCGAGCTAAGCTCTCTATACTGCTCTGCTCTACCACTATAGAGAGCCCAGCTTCACAAAGCTCAATCCACATTCCAGCCGCCTACAGGGCGTTCCAGGACATGTTCAGCAAGGTCGCGGCAACCCATCTTCCACCTCATCGGCCATGGGACTGTGCGATCGACCTGTTGCCTGGGGCCAAATTACCTAAGGGACATGTCTATCCCTTATCGATCCCGGCGCGCGCTGCTATGGAAGAGTACATCAAGGAGGCATTACATCAGGGGTTCATCCGTCCTTCCACTTCTCCTTCAGCATCCGGTTTCTTCTTTGTGGGGAAGAAGGATGGGGGCCTACGTCCTTGTATCGACTATCGAGCACTCAACTCCCAAACCATCAAATTTTCCTATCCACTCCCTCTGGTGCCAGCCTCGTTGGAGGAACTCCGTGGCGCCCGGATCTTCACGAAACTCGATCTACGCAGTGGCTACAATCTAATCCGCATTCGAAGAGGAGGCGAAACCTCTACCTCAAGCAGGAAAAGTGTGAGTTCCATCTAACCACAATTCAAATCCTGGGCTACATAATCACACCACAGGGAGTCCAAATGGACCAAAACAAGGTGGAAGCAGTGAGGAATTGGCCACAACCCACCACGGTCAAAGAGCTGCAGAGATTCCTGGGATTTGCAAACTTCTATCGGCGCTTCATAGCCCATTATAGTCAACGGTCGGCTCCACTTATAACTGATCACAAGAACCTCCAATACCTCCGTGAAGCTAAACGTCTTAATCCCCGACAAGCCCGATGGGCCTTATTCTTCACCCGTTTCCGATTCACAGTAACCTACTGCCCTGGGCATAAGAACCTCAAAGCAGACGCTTTATCAAGACTTTACCAACCAGATCCATCACCAGATAACCCGGAACCCATTCTCTCACCCACAGTGTTCGCATGTCCAATCACATGGGATGTGAATGACCAAATTCGTGCCGCTACTCTAACAGAACCCGCTCCGACGGGAGGTCCGGAAGGGAGATTGTATGTACCCTACCACTCTACGTCTCACCCTTCTGGACTCCATCCACACTTCTCCGGTGCTAACGAACCCTCTCGCTCCTCCGGAACAGATACTGGTGGCCCAGCATATCGCCTGCTACGTCAAGGGTTGTTTGGTCTGTGCCATCACATCCACTCCATGCCGTTTACCTGCAAGAAAACTGGTTCCCTTACCTGTTCCACGCCGACCCTGATCCCACATTGGAATCGATTTCGCCACTGATCTTCCACCCTCTAATGGATTCACTACCATATTTGTTGTGGTGGATAGATTCTCCAAAACCTGTAAACTAATCCCCTTACATGGATTACCCACTGCTTTGGAGGCAGCCAAAGCTCTCTTCCAGCATGTCTTTCTACACTTTGGTCTCCCTGAAGATATCGTTTCAGATAGAGGGCCGCAGTTCATATCAGAACTGAACATATTCATACACATATCAGAACGCAGGCATGGTTTCTTCCATCTGCTGGGAGTGTCTGTCAGCCTTTCCTCAGGAAAGGATTCCTTTATCATCCCCAAACCAACGGCCAGACCGAACGCAAGATCCAGGAGATCGGGCGGTATCTCCGAGCCTACTGTCATGAACACCAGGACAGCTGGAGCCAGTATCTTGCCTGGGCCGAGTATGCTCAGAACTCGTTGCGACAGGAAACGACTGGATCAACTGGATTTCAACCGCCACTCTTCCCCTGGACTGGAGAGCCCTCAGAAGTCCCCGCGGTTGACTGCTGGTTCCGTGAGAGCGAGAGGGTATGGGACTCAGCACATGTCCATCTCCAGCGGGCAGTTCGGATACATAAAGACTATGCTGATGCCTGTCGCGCACCCACGCCTGTGTACCAGCCAGGTGACCGAGTTTGGCTCTCCACTCGGGATATTCGTCTCCGGCTGCCCAGCAGGAAGCTGAGTCCCCGTTATGTCGGTCCTTTCCCTATCGCGAGGCAAATAAATTAGGTCACATATGAGCTCCAACTTCCAGATACCTACCGCATCTCACCCACCTTCCATGTGTCCTTGTTAAAGCCATTCACTAATCCACTTCTCCCTCCTTCTGCAGAGCACAAGGTACCTCCTCCTCCCGAATTCGACCCCAACGATACCATCTACAGAGTCCAAGAAATTCTAGACTCCCGACGGCGGGGCGGCCGGCTCCAGTATCTCGTGGATTGGGAGGGGTACAGTCCCGAGGAGAGATCATGGGTGGACAGGGATGATATTCTGGATCCGTCACTCCTCTCCGACTTCTACCAGTCGCACCCAGATCGTCCCGCTCCTAGGGGGCGCGGTCGTCCTCGCCGTCGGTCACGGGCGCCAGGAGACGCCCGTGGGGGAGGGGGTACTGTCACAGATTCACCAGCCACATCAGCCACCTACACCTAATGTCACTTACCTGAGCACTATATCTGTTCACTCACCTTAGTATCTCATTGACTGGTCTCAAGGTTGCATACCTTACCTCATGCCTCTCCACACCACTCTGGATCTCCATGGCTCTGTGTCTCCCGCCGTCTTGCTGGATCTTCCTAAAGAGGATTAAGTTAAGGACTGTTACTCTTCAGTTTCTAGAGCTAAAGTTATGTTTCAGTTTTAATATTTACCTTTTGAAGCTCTCCTTCAGTTTGTGGAAATAAAGAATCTCTGAATCGTTCTTCCTGTGTATGCCTCTCTATCCAGCCTTGACAGTAATCATGTACTGTGTGCCAATAATTATATTTATTTTTTCCTTTGCCATGTTTGTCCTTCCCACGATTCAGCTGTTTAATAAATGGTGATTTAAATTCAACACTTAAACTATCTACAAGTGTCTTGAGCGTTAGTTCATTTAAGAAGCTTCATTATATTTAAGAACAATAAAAAGCAACAACATATTATGATAAAAGGTCTACCATTCAAAACTATTTAAATATAATTGGCATCAGTAAGGTTCCTAAGGGATTTAAGATTTATTTACATTGAACTGTTTTTTAGTTGCAAATCCTGAGAACCTTTCACTATACCAAAGAAGCATGGTGAGGGTCAAGGCAAGAAGTAGTATGAGCCCAAATGCTGGATGTAATGTGCTTTGAATTTAAAATCCTGTAACCACGATTACACTCATTTTATTTTATTTTATTTCATTTTCACATAAGCACAAATCAAGAGAGTGTCATGGTTTGCTTGCAGATTTATTTACAGCTAACAGAGCAAACGCGTGGAAAAAAAACAGACTTGCTGTATTACACTTTAATTTGAGCAGAATGTATCTCAATAAAGATTGCTAAACTCCAACATACATGTTTGCCGGTGTTTACAGCACATGAGCTCTTGCTCCATAATATAAAGAGAGAGCATGTACGCATGGTTTCCAGTTTTGGGAAGATTACGTAAACCACTGGCCAAAGCACCTATCGATTTAAGAGAAAAGCTTTTTTTCAGGATAAATAACCAGAGGGCAAATACCGTAGAAGGTTATGCTTAAAAAAATCAAGAGATGCAGAAATTGTACTAATTAAAACATGATTCATTGTGCAGCCCTAGTCAAACCATTAGCCAAATGATGCAGGTACTCCCAACAACGCTACACGCAGATAATGGAAATGTGGGTTACACACGAGAACTAATAACAAAAAAAAAAAGGCATATAGGAAATATTAGGATGTGAACTTGCAACAGACACGAAGAGTATATAACAAGAACTTCAAATGTATATTAGTAATACAAGTACAAATTCAAAAGGGACATAATAAATTGGGTCTCAAATGAAATAAAAAGGTCTCCAATGAAACTACAGTTGGACTAAAAATTGAAGGTTATGCTTAAAAAAATCAAGAGATGCAGAAATTGTACTAATTAAAACATGATTCATTGTGCAGCCCTAGTCAAACCATTAGCCAAATGATGCAGGTACTCCCAACAACGCTACACGCAGATAATGGAAATGTGGGTTACACACGAGAACTAATAACAAAAAAAAAAAGGCATATAGGAAATATTAGGATGTGAACTTGCAACAGACACGAAGAGTATATAACAAGAACTTCAAATGTATATTTGTACAAATACAAGTACAAATTCAAAAGGGACATAATAAATTGGGTCTCAAATGAAATAAAAAGGTCTGCAATGAAACTACAGTTGGACTAAAAATTGATCATTCATGGTCCAAGTCTTGTGTAGTACTACTTCAACTGATGGAGGGCAATCAGAAGATAGATGCCCATAAGCATCATTCTGAAGAGTACCGTTCAGTACAAATAAAAAAGAATGAAAGAAAAAGCTGAAACAAGACAATACATGGTAACTCTTTGGTTAAGTCTTTCTTTAGCGTTCCACTTTTCAAGTACTTCATTTTAACAAATAGAAACTTAAGAAATTCTAGATTCCTGAAAGTGTGAGGACAAAAATCTACATACTATGCAACAGCTATAATGACCTCTATTCTAACTTGCACAGTCAGGAATTGACTAACAATAGAGGCTGTGTAGTCTTTAGTCTTGGACTAGTATAAAGGTAGGGGTGACAGCAGTCGGTCAACAAGCAGAATCAGCTTCAGCTTCTCATTTGTGGAACTACTGAGGATCAACCAGCGCAACAATGAGGGTAATTCACAACTACATATTCCAGCTCCTATTCTATACAGTTTCACTTAAATTACCATAATGTGGTATTTACTACAACTAAGAGATTAACTTTTGAATTTTCAGGTCACCTTTTATGAGGAAAGAAATTTTCAGGGTCGCTCTTATGACTGTACCGGAGACTGTGCTGATTTCTCCTCCTACATGAGCCGTTGTCACTATCATCTCGTACATCTGGCCCATGAAGTTCTCCCTCTCGTAGATCCTCATTCTGTAGGATCCCCTGTGCTGTAATGGAAGAGAAGTCAGTTGTTTATAAATTTATTAGGAAGAATAATTATCACATGTAACAATATATCTTCAGCAACAATCTAGGTCTGTCTCTCACAGATCATCATTCTAAAAGGATCTATGTTGCTTTTCAAGCTGAAGGATTTCAAAGTAAATTGTTAAATAAATTTAGGACTGTTGTCCACCTTCAATTCATATAAATATGTCAGCAGGTTCATGGAGCTTACCATAGGGATCATACGGCAGGACCTGATGCAGTTGTTCATTCCAAACATAGACATGTAATCAGCATAGTCACCCCTCCTAAAGAAATACTGATTTCCCATATAATGAGGTTGATCATACATCATCCAGCATCCGCTGTGCACTCTGCAAGAGTGACAACGGCTCATGTAGGAGGAGAAATCAGCACAGTCTCCGGTACAGTCATAAGAGCGACCCTGAAAATTTCTTTCCTCATAAAAGGTGACCTGAAAATTCAAAAGTTAATCTCTTAGTTGTAGTAAATACCACATTATGGTAATTTAAGTGAAACTGTATAGAATAGGAGCTGGAATATGTAGTTGTGAATTACCCTCATTGTTGCGCTGGTTGATCCTCAGTAGTTCCACAAATGAGAAGCTGAAGCTGATTCTGCTTGTTGACCGACTGCTGTCACCCCTACCTTTATACTAGTCCAAGACTAAAGACTACACAGCCTCTATTGTTAGTCAATTCCTGACTGTGCAAGTTAGAATAGAGGTCATTATAGCTGTTGCATAGTATGTAGATTTTTGTCCTCACACTTTCAGGAATCTAGAATTTCTTAAGTTTCTATTTGTTAAAATGAAGTACTTGAAAAGTGGAACGCTAAAGAAAGACTTAACCAAAGAGTTACCATGTATTGTCTTGTTTCAGCTTTTTCTTTCATTCTTTTTTATTTGTACTGAACGGTACTCTTCAGAATGATGCTTATGGGCATCTATCTTCTGATTGCCCTCCATCAGTTGAAGTAGTACTACACAAGACTTGGACCATGAATGATCAATTTTTAGTCCAACTGTAGTTTCATTGGAGACCTTTTTATTTCATTTGAGACCCAATTTATTATGTCCCTTTTGAATTTGTACTTGTATTTGTACAAATATACATTTGAAGTTCTTGTTATATACTCTTCGTGTCTGTTGCAAGTTCACATCCTAATATTTCCTATATGCCTTTTTTTTTTTGTTATTAGTTCTCGTGTGTAACCCACATTTCCATTATCTGCGTGTAGCGTTGTTGGGAGTACCTGCATCATTTGGCTAATGGTTTGACTAGGGCTGCACAATGAATCATGTTTTAATTAGTACAATTTCTGCATCTCTTGATTTTTTTAAGCATAACCTTCTACGGTATTTGCCCTCTGGTTATTTATCCTGAAAAAAAGCTTTTCTCTTAAATCGATAGGTGCTTTGGCCAGTGGTTTAAGAGAAAAGCACCTATCGATTTAAGAGAAAAGCTTTTTTTCAGGATAAATAACCAGAGGGCAAATACCGTAGAAGGTTATGCTTAAAAAAATCAAGAGATGCAGAAATTGTACTAATTAAAACATGATTCATTGTGCAGCCCTAGTCAAACCATTAGCCAAATGATGCAGGTACTCCCAACAACGCTACACGCAGATAATGGAAATGTGGGTTACACACGAGAACTAATAACAAAAAAAAAAAGGCATATAGGAAATATTAGGATGTGAACTTGCAACAGACACGAAGAGTATATAACAAGAACTTCAAATGTATATTTGTACAAATACAAGTACAAATTCAAAAGGGACATAATAAATTGGGTCTCAAATGAAATAAAAAGGTCTGCAATGAAACTACAGTTGGACTAAAAATTGATCATTCATGGTCCAAGTCTTGTGTAGTACTACTTCAACTGATGGAGGGCAATCAGAAGATAGATGCCCATAAGCATCATTCTGAAGAGTACCGTTCAGTACAAATAAAAAAGAATGAAAGAAAAAGCTGAAACAAGACAATACATGGTAACTCTTTGGTTAAGTCTTTCTTTAGCGTTCCACTTTTCAAGTACTTCATTTTAACAAATAGAAACGTAAGAAATTCTAGATTCCTGAAAGTGTGAGGACAAAAATCTACATACTATGCAACAGCTATAATGACCTCTATTCTAACTTGCACAGTCAGGAATTGACTAACAATAGAGGCTGTGTAGTCTTTACTCTTAGTCTAGTATAAAAGCACAGGTGACAGCAGTCAGTCAACAAGCAGAATCAGCTTCAGCTTCTCATTTGTGGAACTACTGAGGATCAACCAGCGCAACAATGAGGGTAATTCACAACTACATATTCCAGCTCCTATTCTATACAGTTTCACTTAAATTACCATAATGTGGTATTTACTACAACTAAGAGATTAACTTTTGAATTTTCAGGTCACCTTTTATGAGGAAAGAAATTTTCAGGGTCGCTCTTATGACTGTACCGGAGACTGTGCTGATTTCTCCTCCTACATGAGCCGTTGTCACTCTTGCAGAGTGCACAGCGGATGCTGGATGATGTATGATCAACCTCATTATATGGGAAATCAGTATTTCTTTAGGAGGGGTGACTATGCTGATTACATGTCTATGTTTGGAATGAACAACTGCATCAGGTCCTGCCGTATGATCCCTATGGTAAGCTCCATGAACCTGCTGACATATTTATATGAATTGAAGGTGGACAACAGTCCTAAATTTATTTAACAATTTACTTTGAAATCCTTCAGCTTGAAAAGCAACATAGATCCTTTTAGAATGATGATCTGTGAGAGACAGACCTAGATTGTTGCTGAAGATATATTGTTACATGTGATAATTATTCTTCCTAATAAATTTATAAACAACTGACTTCTCTTCCATTACAGCACAGGGGATCCTACAGAATGAGGATCTACGAGAGGGAGAACTTCATGGGCCAGATGTACGAGATGATGGATGATTGTGACAGCACCATGGACCGTTACCGCATGTCTCACTGCCAGTCCTGCCATGTGATGGACGGCCACTGGCTCTTCTATGAGCAGCCCCACTACAGAGGCAGGATGTGGTACTTCGGCCCTGGAGAGTACAGGAACTTCAGTAATATGGGTGGCATGAGATTCATGAGCATGAGGCGTATCATGGACTCCTGGTACTAGTGTTTCAATAAAATAATTTCTCTACAGCACTAAACCTTGTGCCTGCAAAATCCTTACTTCCACTAATATTTGCATGTCTAAACAAGCACTAAAACTAATGAATTAAACACATTTACTATTAAACAAAAGTAGGCTTGTGAGACCAGAAGAGTGAATTATTTTCTCTTTTACTGCCAAGTTTAAATGAGGATGGGTAAAATATTTTGAATTGAATTATTTAATGAAACGTGCTTGAAAATGGTCTTCAACAGTGTAAAACAGTTTTATACTGGCATTAAAAAAACAAACATTAACTTAAAAACTGTCAGACTCTGTTCCATGTTTTGTGTGTGTCCTGCTCCCCATGTGCCTTCCCATGCCCTTATTTGGTTAGTTTCCTGTTCCTGTCCTGATTAGTTAAGTTCATTTGTCCCAGGTGTTTCCCTTGATGTTTCATTGCTCCCAGGTGTGTCTCGTCATCCCCTCCTCCTGTGTGTGTGTATATAAAGTGTTCCCAGTCCCTAGTTCTCTGTCCGCTGTTAAACGTCTTCCTGAGTTCGTCTCCCATGGTTCCTGGCAATAAAGTCTTGTTAAAGTATTCTCCAGCGTCTCCTCGTTCCTCGAAGTGTATTGTGACAAAAACCACACATAAGATTGGTAATTCTTACTATCTAGAAAAGTACAGTGGCACCTCGAAATGCACAGAGAGTTGGCAAACTGTGTAACCTGACACCATCAGCATTCAATATTATCTCTAATCTAATTTCTCACATGTATGAGGGAAATTTATTAATCATGTATATCAACAATCATGTATGCCATTAATTTTTGTTTCCCGTGCCATGTTTGTCCTTCCCATGATTCAGTGAGAAAGTTGACAGTTATTTATTTAACATTGTAATCCATCAATTCACAATGGAAAGCAGTGGGTCCTGCACTGGCCATGGTAGTGTTACGGGGCTGAAAAGACGTGAGACGTGCGGATCCATGTGCAAGCTTTTATTTAAAGCAGAAGAGGTCAGAAACACAGGCAGGGTCGAACAATGGCAAACAGGTATATGGCGGGCAAGACACAAAAATAATCCTAGGGCTAGCGTAGGTCAACGATCGGCGAACAGAATCAAAAGGGCGAGACTAGAGGGATAAATCCAGGAAAACAGGCAAAGATCAGAAACCAAGAAAACAGACAGGGCAAGACTAGGCTAGGACTGGGAAACTAACGAGGGCTCTGTAAAGTAGCTATCACTGCTGGCGATAAGCGCATACAATACTCGGCAGTTTGATAGGAGTCAGATTGAGTGATGTATAGTGAATGTGTGATCGGATACAGCTGTGTGCAATCAGTGCTGTGTGCAATCAGTACAATGGATGATGGGATATGTAGTCCGGGATGATGCAACAGTTTGTGTAGTGCGAGAGTCAATGTAATGGAAAGGGTGACCTCTGATGGCAAGCAGACGGAAGTTCATGGACCGGATTCGTGACAGGTAGATTATCGTTTTAGGTCCAGTGTACAAACAGAATGAACTGCGGTGGGCTGAATAAAAGAGGGGGTTTCTCACACAGAACACTGTTTCCTTTTAAAAACGCAACATGCAGTGCAGTGGAATGTAAAAATGTGCAAGATCTACAGATGTATTTTTAAAACTGTCAAACTTTTGACACAGCAGGTCAAGAAACACCTCTTAATTGCAAGGTGCTGAAAAAACAGTGAAAGGCAGCTTAATGGTTAGAGACATCTTTTAAAAATACATACATAGAAAAACAATTTAAAAATAACAAATGAATGCAAAAAAACAGTAACTGTTCCAGGCAGTAGATAGGTATTTCATTTTGCAGGTTCAACAAACTGTCAATGATTCAAAGAGTTGATGAGGTAATAAACTATTCAGGGAAATTGAGAACACCAGTCTACAGTGTGACAGAGGCTTATTTAATTAGGACAACTAAATGAAACAAATAGCTGTGGTGATGCAGTGACCTATGATTAGGCTACTTTTTTTTTTTTATATATACGATAAATGAGAATTCTGCAGGTGGCCCTGGCCCCTGTACATTACTACATCTGAATTGTCATCAACCAAGAAGGATGACTTTTTTTCGCCCAATTAACAGTGTATTTACAGTATCCATCAAGAGAGGCTAACTGCTGAAAGCTAACTAATCAAACCCCTTAGTGAAACACCCAACATGTCATGGGTGCTAACTGTTCAGCTACTGTACAAATTTGAGGCTTAGTGCCATGAGGTTATTGATCTCTAATTGCTTAATAAACAGTGATTTAAATTCAATGGTCAAATTATCCACAAGTGTCTTGAGCGTTAATACACTTAAGAAGCTTCATTATATTTAAAGGGATAGTTCACCCCAAAATGAAAATTCTGTCATTAAAGGGGTCATATGATGCTTTTTTAAGATCATTATTTTGTGTATTTGGTGTAACAGAATATGTTGACATGCTTTAATGTTCAAAAAACACATTATTTTTCAAATAGA